CCCCCCCCCCAATCAACAGACTCTGGTTACAACACTTTAAAGATGATAAAAAATACCCCAGCAATAATAAAGCCCAAGATAACACCAGTGATACTTAATTAGGGTTGAAGATTCAGTGAAATAAAACTGTCTCAGGGATCTTTTGAATGTCATGAGAGAGGGAGTTTAAAGAAACCTGAGAGGTGAAAGAGTTCCAAAGTTTGAGAGCCATCATAGAGAAGACATGTTGCTTTGTCTTTTTATCCCTAAGAAGAAAGACACTTTATAGATCTTTTGGAGAGGTTCTCACCAAACTGGCAGATTCAACTCAGTATAAATGGGAAGAAACCCTATGGAACATCCAATGAGTTGGGAGATCATTGTACGTATACACCCATAAAAGATTTTTGCAAATTATTCAGAGAGGTACTTTTCTTATGTCATGGGTTCATTAGCAGTCCTGTCTGTGCATGTGCAAATGACCTCTTGAAGCACAACTCTATTACATACTGTATGTACATAATACATAAGCACTGTTATACTATTCCATCTTCTAAGGATTCTCTGTTCCATCTAGCCAAGTATTGTCTATGTTGACTGGCAGCACTACTCTAAAGTCTCTGGAGAAGCTCTTTTCTAGACCCTTCTCATTCTGGGTCACTATAGTACTTTGCTATAGTACTTTGTTTTGCTATAGTACTTTGCATATTGGATACATCCAAGGGAACCACTGATTAACAGATACTTTTAACTGGAGATCATGCAGAAGACCACCTAGGAGAAAGAATATTAGGTGGGAAAGTGCAGGTAAGGGAGAGTTTAGTAGAACTTTTTCCTTTCACCTCTGCATTATATCTTCTTTATATCTGCTTTTTATATACCTGTTAGCATAATCCATATAATAAAAGTGAAATGTTATCCTTAAAGTAGGATAGGAATCAATGGACACTTCCACACAAGCATGAGCATCTGCTGGAGGGACATCATTTTGATGTCAGCATGGCTTGTAACATACTAAATTGTGCATCAGTTTGAAAGCAGCTTTGGACCTCTGAATTCCAATGAAATCAGCAGTGTTGGAGAGCAGAGTTGATTTATTTCCAGGTCACTGTGGGGTAGTCAAAACTGCTGCAAAGCCAAATGTTTTTTGAGATATTGTGTCTCATTTCTCCATTGGAGGAATTTTTGTCCTCTCCTTACTTAGAGCTTCAGGGCAGTCCAGATGAGCAAGAAGGAGCCTACAAAATACAATACTACTGATTTTTTTTTTTGTACCTTTTCTTTCTTTCCCTTTTATGTGGAATGAGACATGAGGGGATTTTTGCAGTTGCAGGACTCAGTACAGAGTAATAATTTCCAGCCCTTATTCTCAGCATATGAGGTCGCCAGAAGTGAAGACAATCACAGCTTGCCTTCAAATGGCTTTTGAGAGTTGGGAAATGAAAACAGTGGTGGTGTGTAAGTCTCTTTATTTCCCATGTCTTTAACTAATTATAGGAGAGAAGGGAAAAGCCTTAATAGAAATATGGCATCTAGAAGAAGGATTTATCTCCTTCCTTCCCAGTGTGAATAAACTGACATCTTCCACATGTCTAGGATGCTTGGAAAGTAAACTCACATTAGTGACAGTAAGCTCATATTAGTGACAGTGGGAGCTCTTTCTCTAACATTGTTTGATGCATGAAGCAAGTGTGTGATTTTCATTCCAGTCATCCTGGAACAGAAAGACACATTCTTGTACTTGTATTGGCAATTACCTTCCCTCTGCTTGTAATCAAGTAAAAACGAAGTGTGCAGTAACTATTCATGTGTCTCATTTGACCCTAGCTGTTTGAAAGGGTATGTAGCTGGTTATATATCCCCTTCTCATATTGTGCTAAAGTTGCATGGACATTCTTGTCTGTTCTATAACCAAAGCAGATGTGTAAGCAAGCATTTAATCTTCTCTTATAAAGTGTACCCTTGTCCCTGGGGACAGCAATCATGGACGTACATTACTTATTCAGACTGATGAAGAATTTATGTTGGCTGGAACTGTGTCTGGCACATTCATCAGCATCTATGTGGTATAGTTTATCTGCACATTCTCATTAGCCATTCATATATTTGGCATCCATGAACCAAAATGTGCAAACAGAGTTTATGTATCCCTGGACTCTGTACATAATCTTTCTCTCTCTTTCAAGTCACTGATGTAATGTAGTAATTCTGAAATCTCAATTCCAGTGGTAATAAATACATTTTTACGCCTCCCCCCCGCCTTTTTAAAACAGAAAAAACAGAGAGAAGTGCAAAGGTTGTTTTATTGTTTTCTGGATATCCAAACATGTTCTAATAAAATTAGCAGTGAATAAGATTTTATGAAATAGGTTCTTCTGAGTAGTATTTTGCTAGATCATATGAAGGTGGTTCAGTGATAACAGACAATTCTTTCAATTATATCAAACCTTTTGTTATTGCATTTTGTTTAATGGAATTACCCCCTTTAATTGGTAGAACACCAATTCAATTTGTAGGCCAAATCTCATGGACGTATTGAAGCAAGCCATTGCTGAGACATTTATTATCTTGCTACTTTCTTTTTAAATATTTCTAAAAGGTGGCAACCTCTACATGAAAACGTCATGAAAAGGTTTGTTTTCTTGGCAGAAATATTTATGCAAGGCTACCTAGCTGTTGCAATGTGCTACTGAAACGTGATTTGAACCTGACTATTCCAGTGAATGGTTAAAGCACGTATTTTCCTGTAAACTCAGAAAAAAAGGGATGTACTGCAACGTACTGGCCTGATTCACATATGAAGTTAAGCCAGGAGTTATTCTGTATAATTGTGTCTCTAAACAATCTGCTTTATACCAATAGAAGCGAATATAGCTGTAGTGGAATTTGTGAGTAGATCTTTGTATCCCACTGAAGACCTATTGGAAGAAGACTGTGGGAGATAAAATAATGGTTTCAACAACTGAATTTTAATTTGTAAAGGGCTCTGTTCAGGACTGTTAATTACTTTTGCTGCAGATTGTCCACAGGACATTAGCTGCAATGCTGGGATCCTTGGCTGCCTTGGCCGCCTTGGCTACAATTGGTGATGTAAGTAGCAAACTCTCATATCTTTATTGTCCCATTGTTCAATATCTCTTGGCCACATATTCTACTTTAACTTTGCTGGGCCATGAACAGCAGGGGTCTTTGCCTTAAAAAGTATCTATACTTAAACACACAATTTAGTACAGGCACAGAACTGCAAAACGATGTCTAGGAAGATGTGTATACATGTGTCAACCCAGACAGGAACCATGAAAATAATTTTAAATGTATAGTGGGAAAAGGTAGCATCACATTAAAAATGCATCCAGAAGGAATCTCATCATCTAGTTTGAAGATGCAGATCACAAATAGTAGTGATAGTACAGAAATAGAAATTTGTCGATTTTTAGGGTTCAACTTCTTTACCCTTAGCCTTAATTCTGTCTCACTCCCATGTTCTCTGCACACATTACATTAACCCAGCTCTCCTTCCTTCACAGCAAACCTGCTGTTAAGGCTCAGCAAACAAAACAGTAAAGTCTGTTGCTGAGATCTCCAGAGATGCAGCTGATTCTCATTTGTCAAACCATCAAAACCATTATTTGCAGAGGCATCCACAGCTAGTCACAAGGATGCCCAAATGTTGAAACTTGCTTCATGATATCATAATACAAAAAAAAAAAAATTGCTTGTCTAAGAGCTGGATTTTGCATCATAATGTCATCTCTCACTCCACTTGAACCCCTTCTGCAAACTCCCATGATTATCTGTGAAGTATTCAGTTTTGAATAATGGAGAGAATGGAACAGGTTTTTGAAGAAAAACAAATTTTTGGAAAGGCAGGGAGAAGAACGCACAAAATGTTGGGTTGCATACTGGACAATCCCATTGTCCTCAGGACAACCAGTATGTTTTAGGGAAATAAGGAATTTGGTTTCCACAGCAAACAAGACTTTGCCCAAAAGACCTTGAAAGTGGGTTACATATCTCCCTCGTCTTGATTATCATAGCAGCATTTTCTGCATGATAACTTGAAAGGGGAGGAAGCATCCCATGTTCATTGTCATTCCAGATTGGCCCTGGGGTTTGCTATTTCATCAGTTCTCATTATTGTTTAAGTTTTTTTTTTTTTAAATAAGGGGAGAGTTACATGTTGCTGTTTCTGGTTAGGAGAAAAATGTGCCATATTTGGACATTCACTTATGAATGACCAGTGGTCATTTTTTGCTGGCATTTGTTCCTCATCCTTACAGTTAATTCATTTAAATGTCATTTTCCATAATGCTCCAGAAAACAGTGATTCTCAAAATGTGACCTGGGAACCTCTAGAGGCCCCTGGAAATCCACAAATTATCCAAGACAGACTTCCAGCATTCATTGCCAGCTGGCTGGCCAGGGCAGAGCTCAGTCACTGTCCCAGCCCCCACTACTCCATGTTCATTGCCACTCAGCTTGTTTTTAAAATGGATCATTGGCTGAAAACTGGTTCATCAAAGCATAAATATGATAATATCTGAGTATTAAATTCAGGAAAAAACTGATCACAGTGAACAGGTCTTGAGTGCAGTTATGGACTGGATCCATGGGTGCCATGCTAAGTGGACATGTGACCATGCAAAGCAACTCAAAAAGAAGTGTGAATAGTAAATAGGACTATGAATATCTAAACATGTGATTTTATTGGGCTGGAGATTCACTTACTCAGGTTTTCTGTTAAAGAAAATCTTGTCCAACAAGTTTGTGCTACAAGGAGTATTACTATGGCACAAGATACATAAAATAATTCAAGTGATAAACAATTTGGGGTGGTGGTGGTGATTCAAAACTGAGTTTCAAGAAGGCATGGGAAGGCATACAGCAATGTTATTATCATCAGTATTGTGTTTGCCAAAAAACAAATTTCAATGCTTTTGAAGACAGAAAAGTATTTCTTTACTTGATACTTCACTGGACATACATTGTCTAGATGTTTATTTAATAGTCCATCATTGCAGATGTTTTGAGAAACACAAAAAGTTACATTTTTAGCCTTTATTTCTTTAATTTTTACTGTTTCTCTCTATATTCTTTCAAATGCTAGTAGTATATTTTGTTAGTAAAAATAAGGCATGTGTTTATACAATGTTCATTTATTTTCACATTTTAATTTATGATCAATATTGTTATAAATAAATTAAAATCCCCTCTATTTTATCCTTTCAAACTGTCAACACAAAGAGGTTTCTTATTTGGGTTCCTAGCAAAAATATGAAGTCATTTCCTTTAAGGAATAGTTTTGTTTTGTTTTTTTAAATAAATAAACTGAGTTTGAATTTCCAAGACTCAATGACTAGATAAAAAGATCAATGTGATTCAATGATAATTATTACACTGTTTAATTGCAGAAGCCGAGCCTGATCAAAGTAGTAGCATGGATTGATTACGAAACTCTGGCACTATTGTTTGGAATGGTAATTAAACATTTCCATGGCACCTTAAAAGATCTGAACGTTTAAAAATGCTATATACAAACCATGAAGGTTACTAGACATTCATGTATGTGGTTGGGGAGGGAGAGTTTCAGCATTAGTTCCCTTTTAAACTGCTTCAGCTTAAGATGTTAAGTATGAGCACATCCCAAACATGGCAGGGAATCAGTCACAAGCATGTACTTCAAGCCTACCAGCCCCAGTTTTGGAATCTCCGATCCCCTCAAGCCTTTTCAGGATCACATTTTCTAGGGTATCTCGGTGTAATTATCTCTCTAAGGCAGTGTTGTCCAAACTTGGCCACTTTAAGATGAGTGGACTTCAACTCCCAGAATTCCCCAGCCAGCC